AAGTGTGATTGGCGATCACGCTATTGTGGTAACGTGTCCCATATAGACTTCGGTGCGGGTACATATCAGTTCAGTCCGAAGTAAAATTCATTGTTTAACGGTGCGGGTACATATCAGTTCAGTCCGAAGTAAAAGTCATTGTTTAATCCGGCGCGGGCTAGTACCGGTTCCTTTCGGGTAACGACCCGGAATGAGATCGCGATTTTGTTTTTCTTTTTTTTGCGTGTAAAATACCTGTCAACGCTTCCAGCTGTTGCTCAGCAACATGGCGACACGGAAGTCCTCGGGCTGCTGGCGATTGAGCGGAACGCAACAGACGACAGAACGTCGAGATGAGGAAGCGTTAGTCGAAAACACACGATTGGCTGAAATAGACTACAGAGGGTCAACACGATTCGTGAAAAAGTGGAAAAAGAAATACGGATTTTCGGGAGACGTTAATAATTGCAATGAATTAGAAACAGTTTTGAGCAAATTATCGCTGAAAGACAAAGAAAAGCGAAAAAATAATGAACACGGAAAACAATGGTACAAGTGTAAAATCCTCGTTGAAAGGGCCAAACGAATACGAGCTAAAAAGACGAACGACAAACGCCGAAAGACGGATGACGATGTAATTGCAGCTACTGCTGCTACGCAACCATTAACCTCTCCAGCATCCGCCGTTTTGGGAGAGCTGTACGAGAGAAAAGAATTCAGTACCCCCTCCGTCCTGGGGAACGAATCAAACTCCCGTAACAGCCCCCGATCAAACTACCAGACATGATTGGAGTAAAGATAACCCGTTACAAGCTTACCCCATGGTTGAGATGCCGGGGGCCGGGGGGGAGGGATCGATACACCTTTACCGGCCTTGGACGCCGGCCGAATTTCGAGACATCGCCGCGTCACTTCCAAAACCGAAGGACGACCCGGACGAGTTCGTGAGAGAATTATCGGATTTGGTCCACAGTCACAGGCTTAACGCGAGTGAACTTTTGAAATTGCTCTCATTGACTACCAGTTCGAAGTTTGGCGCAGTTGTGGGCAACTTTAATGGTAAAAAAGCCGCGGGAGGTTATCTGTGCTATGATGAACTCACGCAGCTAGGGGGACCCCTTGACCAAATTATGGAACGTTGCGCCAAGGCATACCAGCGGACGCAAGATCCAAAACAAATTGCCACATGCATTCAAAAGGCTGACGAGACTACGGACGATTTTTTCCACCGTCTGCGGACAGTGTTCAAAATACACGGCGGTATCCCTGAGACACAGTCAGACTTGTTCAATTCGCATTTAAAACAGCATTTGTTGAACCAAGCACATCCTGATGTTACTCAATATGTTAAAAGACATAATTTGAATTGGCCAACATGTTCGATCGATGAGGTTTTGAATTAC